TCTCTCTCTCTCTCTCTCTCTCTCTCTCTCTCTCTCACACACACACACACACACACACACACACACACACACACACACATGCTCTCGAGCCTTTTCCACCTCCTTCCCACCTGCTGCCAGCCCCTCCCAGGGCTCCGGCTCTGCAGTGTGTGAGGAAAGCACAGCGTGTGCTGGGACCATGAGATGGGCACACACAGCACCCCTGCAGAGCAGCCCCAGCCATTTCTGATCGTGCCACACTGGACCTATTACATGGCTTCCCCTGGGACCTCTGAGAAGCTGCAGATACGCAAGCCCGGCCCTGGGGAGGGTGGCGCTGAACAGGTGAGGATGATGGAAACAGCTGTGTTCTGTGCACTCACGGTGCTCCCAGCCCTGTCTTCCAATCATGACCACTCTCGGAGGTGCAACGAAAAGAATCCCGATCCACCACTGATGAAGCTGATGTGTCCTTGTCCACACTCTTGTGAGCAGCAGAGCAGATTTGAAATCCAAGGGCGTCAAACCCCAAGGCTCTTGCTCCAGGCCAATGACCCTCTGAGAGGTCGCTCCTGACCTGCTCTGCTTTTGCTTACAGCAGCGGCAGCATCCTCTGAGCCCTGAGCCCTGCGGGTGAGTTTCAACCTTGTCTGATGTGCACAGTGCAAGTTGAGGATCAGCCAGAGGGAGATGCGCAACTCAGTATTTCATTACCAGGATATTTCGTCTGTGTCAGAAACATCATGCCCCACGTATGGTGTGTGATCAACGTATACAAGGAATGTTAAGTTTTTTAAATTCATCACAGTAAAAGATACACTCCCAATAATCTCATATTCAACATATTCCCTCCCACTTCAAATTCACTTATCCTGCGATTCTTGGAGCAATTCTGGAAGTTCTTTCATAAGTGTCAATGCAAACAGCGAATCAAAAATACTCTGAAAGCTCCAGCTGAGTGTCATACAATGGAAAGACCAGCTTGTAAAACCAGCACAGCTGTTCCCACACACGTTATTCGTGGAATTTGACACAGTGTGGCTTTTAGCACTGATCAAAATGTCCAAGAAAGGTGAACATTCTGACTGGATTCGGGACACGGAGGCAGCCATGACCGCACAGCTAAAGACACTCACGAAAGAGGACCTCCGGGGCTGCCTCAGAAAATGGCAGGAATGACGAGATACGTGTGTTCAAAACGAGGCGGGTATTTGGATGAGGACTAATGGCAACGTGTTTTTTACTGTATTCACCATTTTAATTTCAGTATTCACCATATTTTGTAACTCGTCTCATTTTACGAGGTGCTGCACTAAATATTAGGGACACAGGGCAAATGAAATAAGATCCCAGCCCTAGTAAAAGAAATAGGACCAATATAGAAGTACCTCCAGCCCAAAGTGGCAGAGAAATGACATGTCTACCTATTTGTCTCTGTTTGACTCCTTCCCTGCCCGTAACGAGCTCACAGCTGAGCTAAGGAGCAGACGCTGTATGCAGCCCCCCTACCTACACGGGATCTGGGCTCTGCAGCAAGTGGGGGACACGGAGTAAACGGACAGAGAGAGACAACCCCGCCTGTCTTTGTCTAGACTGAAAGGCTTGAGGGGCTGGAGCATGGAGATGCTCCCGGAGCTCTTTCAAAGGAAGAACTGAAAGAGGGGGTACACACAGAGAGATCCTCTCCCAGGGCTCCCGGTACAGTTCCTGGGCGCCCCGCCCCCACACTCACCTGCCGGGCAGTGATTGATCGAAAGGCAGATATAAGGGGTACATGAAGTGAAAACATAAATGCTTTTTTTAAGATATGGATAAATGTAAGAGAAAAGAACAGTGAGGGGTGCCCTGTGATTTCCCGGGGTGCGGCAGGGGCAGGGAAACCACACTGCAACACCACCCGCCCCCGTCTCCACCCACCGGGCCCTAGGCGTGCAGTGACAGCATCTGGCCAGTAGAGAGAGCTCGTTGCCCAGTTAAATCTGAATGTGGTACTGGAGGGTTGAGGAAATGTTTTCCTAGCTGGGCCTTGAGGTTAGTTCCGCTGCCTTGCCTCCCAGGGTGCTGGATCCCTGGGGCTGGCTCGATCACAGACAGGTTAGCCAGCGATCCTCACGTAGGGATGGTAAGGAGCTCCGTGAGCCAGCTGCCAGCCCTCTGCTGCCCTCTGAAGCGTTCTGTCACAAGCTAAGGGACATTTCCGGAAGTAGGAGGGAGCACTGACCTGTTTTGGTTACCATTCCCCCTTCCGCACTAGGCAGGTGTCCAGGACACAGTGGACATGCAGTAAATATTGTGTGGATGCCTGGACCAGACATAGCTCCTGACCGAAACAACTTCACAGAAACAAGAATCTCTCCTTACTTTCTGAATGTTTTGTTCCTGAACTTCGGTCCTACCATGGAGTCATTGTGTGCTGCATTCTGCCCCTGGCTAAGGACAGCTCCCTCCCTGGCCCCACACTGCCTTGGCTCTCTGGTCAGGCTTCCACCTGCTGTGAGACACCATGGCAGAGTCCACCGAAATCAACACAACCAACCGAAGAGGGCACGTTACAGCCCCACCACCCTGGGACTGTTTTCATAGTGCAGAAGGCAAGAAGCGACAAAATCATCTAAAAGGAAATTATTTTCTCAATATACAAATGTCTCTCCCCTGCTCCTCTCCCTCCACCTGACAATGCCAATACCTCTGATACATTCACAGTGTTGTGTGGAATATTCTTTAAAGACTTACAGGCGGCTCTGGTGGTCATGAGTACTCATATTACACTTGCACACGTGTGTGTGCACACACACACACTGACATACCCCATCCCATCCTGCCATACTGAGCCATTCCCATATGTTCCAGTGTCTTTACATCTTTGATACATATCAAAGTCACCCAGGGAGATTTTTTTTTAATCATATTGATTCTCAGGCCACATTAAATCAGAATCTTGGGCAAATCAAATCAGGATCTTTCAGGGGGAGGCTTGGACTCAGAGATCTTAGTGTGCATCCAAGGGTGAGATGTTGTGCCACAGACAGCAAGAGAAAGCACCCGCATGGGACGCTGGCAGAGTCCTGGCCACTGTGCCTTCCCCCTAATCAGAGACCCTGAGAGCAGCAGGAGCTACAACCACCCAAAGCGGCCTGAGATGCAAACCTATAACCCTGGCCCAGCACCCCAGAGAGTCCTCATGGATTTATCTCACCACTAACCGTCGGAGCCATAAATCAGCACTCCAGTCTCTGAGCTCAGACTCTTTGTGACACAGGAGGGTTACCCGAAATATCAGAGTGAGAGCGTTCTGTACATTGTAAAGGATCATGTAGTTTAAAGTGATCATTATAAGGAATGGCCAGATACAGATTTTAAATCATTTTTAAGCTTATTTTTAAATGGTTTTCAATCCTGAAATTTCAGGCTTGCTCATAGGTATCAAGGCATCTGTCAGAAGATCTCAGCCTCCGGGGGTTTCATGTTCACTTCCAGGCTTTTGAAGCTTTCTGTAGTCTCTGTTCCCCAGGCAGTGCATTCTCAATAGTCACTTATCACAACAGACAAGGACAGTCGCTGCACAAATTAGGTGGAATATCTGTCTATCGTCACTGTTTCAGTCCATTATTTTGCATCAATACAAACCACTCTTGTTTTCTTTTAGCAATATTTGCTATTAGCGTGGTGTTAAAGCTCATTGAAATACTTTGCTATAGTAGCATGATTTTGGAAGACCCTTTTGTGGTACAATTTCAGGCATCACCAATGAGCAGTTCAGAGAGCTGATTTGGAGTAAAACTCCATCTCCAGTCTCACAAAGTGTGCCGGTTTGGGGTAGCAAATCACACATAGAGTTTCCATCGTAAGAAATTTTGCATGGAGCAGATTAACCACTGCACCCACAGGCTGGCTTTCTCATAAGTCAATTAGTCTTAATTGTAAGACATTCAATTAACCTAGAAACTAATGAAATCAGCACTGCAGATGCTTACATGTGTCATACAGTTTCAATTTCTAAAGCATGACCGTTGGTGGATAGCTTTCTTGGCCCTGGATTTCCTTTGTGAGGTCAAGAAAATTATGTAAAAGGTGGAAGTTAATGAGAAGACAGAAGGCAGCTGATTATAGCCTAAAATATAAGCAGTCCAAAGAAGGCAGAGTGGGAATAGAATGAGTCCAAGAGCTAACGACAGCAAAGGGCAGCTCATGCCTTACGTATTTAACGTGGTCCCACAAGGAAGCAAGTGACTCTTCATCGCAACCCCACAAATCCCAGCTGATGTTCTACCTACCAGAAAGGAAGATCTGTAGAGTAATTGAAGAATTGTCTAGTGGATGCTGCAAACTGAATCTTGATGTCTCTGTCCCGGAAGATTCCATTGTTGAAATCCTAAACCCCAAGCATCAGGAGCCGGGCCTTTGGGAAGCCATTAGAATGGAATTAGTGTTTTTATAAAAATGACTTCAGCAAGCTGCCTCCCCACCTCTGCTGTGTGATGACCCAGCAAGACGGTGCAATCGGTGAGCCAGAAAGTGGACCTCGCCGGACACCGTCCATCAGCGCCTTCATCTTGGCCTTCTTGGTCTCTAGAATTGTGAGAAATACACGTCAGTTACTGGCAAGCCAGCCTATGACATTTTGTTTAAGCAGCCGTGAAGGTGGAGGTAGAGGAAGGGAAAGATGCTTGTTCTCTTTGTTTTTATTTTTGCTTTTGCTAATTCACATCTGCGGTACATCATGATCGTGAGCATTGCGGGGAGCCGGTGCACGTACATACCACATCTCCTCTTTTTGTTCCCTTTCCTTCCCTTCCCTCCTCGCTCCTTCCATCTCTGGGTCCTTCTCTTTCACAAAAAAATCGCCTTCCTGTTTCCTAATTTCTACCTTTTTGTTTTCCTCTTCAATTTATTTATACTTTGGGTTTCTCATATAAGAGACACCATGTGGTATTTAAGCCTGTGGGCTTGATTCATCTCTCTTGCTTGTTTTTATTATGCTTAGGCTTTGGGCTCCTCATAATTTGGAGACACTAGTTTGCTTTTTATTTTCTTACTTTTTAATTGGAAGAGTGCATTTAGTCAGAGCCAACTAACTTTCCAATGCTATAATTAAATAAAAGAAAGTAAATTTCTTTGGAAAACAAAATAAGCTTTATCCTTGAAATCCAATTAAATCCTCTATTAAAATTGAGATATAAATAAGATCAACTTAATTCCAGGAAAAAATCAGCAATAAAATAAAAATTTACAACTCTACAAAAGGAACTGGCAAGATTAAAATGCAAGTGATTCTCCCGCATATTAAGATATATGATGGAGAGTCGCGGTGGAGATCTTATGTCTAGACAAGGACTCCTCTCCTCCAATTAGAATGGAGACTCATACATAGGTCAAGAGCTGTCCCACCCTCTCTACACCCCTGATGGCACCTGGAACAGCTCTTCTCAGCACAGGCTGTACATTAAAATTCCCTGGTGAAGCCAAAACATTCAAAATAAAATGCGTCCAGGCCCCCCCAACTCAGCCTTCGGGGCCCCGATGTGTTTGTTTGTTTGAATTTGCTATTTTCTTTTTTAAGAGTCTTTTTTCTTTTTCAAGATTCCTGTGTGATTTGTGAGTTTCTGCAGAAAACGGTTCAGCCTTTCTTGCAGCTGATTTAAAGGCAGGCTGCATGCATGTTTTAGGAGAATGGTCCATAGAAGCCAGGATATCAAGTTTCCACTTTGGGGTCAAGTACTAAGAAGAAAGAGAAATTCAGAAAGCCCAGGGCCTTGCTGCGCTCCACTCCTTAGCTATGAAGTCATGGTTTGAATGAGACAATATATATTTAGCTCCTTTCAGCTCTCGAGTTTCATTAGAATGTTCAATAAATCAGGCTTGTTACAGAGTCTGATGTGTCTTTCCTTAATGAGCCTGATGAGGATGAATGTGAAATAGACTTTGAACTCCCTGGGGCTGACACTCGACTTTGCTCAAAGCCTCATCTCCAGCCCTCACCTCGGTGCCTGGCACCGGGCTTAGCCTACGACAGTCCACGGATAAGGAGATTCTGGTGCCTGATATTTGCATCAGAAAGAAAACCCCAAAGAAAGCCGGCCTCCCCACCCCTTTCTGTTGTTGGTTATTCTTTTGAAGACTGAACTTCCAAATGTCTACGGATGAATGTGCACAGGAGATTAATGTAAATCCATGCACTTCCATCTTACACACACTCATGCACACTCACACACACGCTCACACACGTTCTCCTCTGTCACTCACTGCACATTACATCTCCCACACTACAGCTTAGAACACAAGCAGACTGTATGGAACATAAACAAAACAAATCCGTCTTTAGACTCAGAAGGCAGGCATTTGGATTCCTAAACCAACTGTTTCTCAGGTGAATGACCTTGAACAAGTCACTTACAGTTTCCATTTTCCTATGCATGAACTAAAAACAGATGATCTTGAATCTGTCTTTTCCTACTGTCAAGAAGAGCCTGTGGCATTGGTAGGAATCAAGACAAAGCTAAGCACAGCTTCCTCGTCATCCAACACTTTTCGTCTGGCAGCACTGTGAGGAACAGAGGCACAGATGAGACAAGCTGTCTGACATCAAGAAGAGTAGGTTCTCCCCCAGTAAACAACAAATGCAGCACAAGCAGAAGAACATCAGGATGCCAGTTATTCAGGCTCTCTTCTGAACAAGGAGACAAGAAATTGGCAGGTTGCTGTGTCCTTGGTGACATAAATTGAGTTCAGCAGCCTTCTCCCTGTGACAAAATGACATAATTAACTTAAAAGGAAGAAAGGTTTATTTTGGTTCAATTTCAGAGCTTTCAGTGCATGGTTGCTCGGCCCAGTGGTCCCTGGGACTATGGTGGGGCGGTGTATCCTGTGAAACAAAGAGGAGGAGGGCTCGAGTCCAGTACATCCTTCCGGGTCGAGCAACAGTAACCTACTTCTTCCAACTAGGCTCTTCCTCCTACAGTTCCCTCCAGCTCCTGCTGGGTACCAAGACTTCTACACGTAAGTCTGGAAGGCATTCCACATCCATACCACAGCATAGACGTTGTGGGCAGACTGCCCCACACACAGTGCTTGTCCCATACCTGCCTTGATGCCGAGGGATGCTCCCTTATCTGACAGACATCTTCAGGGAGGCCCAGGAAGAAATTTTATCTCAATGAAAATAGTATTAGACCATACATTTGGTAATAGGAAAGAGAAGAAGTGTTTCATTCAACACAATGCCCTGATTTCAAACACTGGTGAGTGGAAAAGTAGTGACATTAACAGAGGAAGGGAGGGAAAGGGAGGAGAGTGAAGAGGGGTGGGGGAGACAAGAAAGCTGGTTTCAGATACCCGAGTGTTCCTGATCAGTAGAGAATCCCCGAAGGGTCTCAGGCCAAGAAGGTCAAAATTAACTGGAAGGTCTATTTACCAATAAAAATGTAAAAGCTCTTTTATAACTTAATATTTTTAATTTACCATCTTAAGGAATAAGAGTTTGAACTAATGAAATGGGTTTCAGAATGTATACCAATATATGTGTACTCTATAACCCAGATATAGATTCTACACTGATTTACTTATTTCTCTCAACTAATGCCTGGGTCACCTGCAAGGTGACACAAGCACAGGTCTTGTACCTTTGGGGGCTTGCTATGGTTTACATCTAAATGTGCCCCTAAAGCCTCATGTATCATAGGCATGACCTTGGGGTGACTGCATTATAGCGGTATTATATCTTTACAACATTGCACTGTGGGTATCTCCCTTCCAAGCTTTGCCTTGACTCTCTCTGCTTCTTTCCCACTGGCTGAGGGGTTCTGTTCTGCCATGGCCCTCTGCCATGCTGCCTTACCTTGGAGCCAGTCAACTGTGAGCAGAAACCACTACTGTAAGCCAAAATAAACCTCTCCTCCTTTAAGTGGTAGGTTTTGGGCATTTTGTCCCAGCAGTGAGGAAGGTAACTAAGACAGGGTTCATTCAAATTAAGTGATTATTTGGCTTTTCATGCTCTGGGGTTTCTCAGATGATTCCTCATCCCATCCACCTTTAGGAAAATTTGCTAATTCTCCAAAGGCAGAAGTAGCACGTGAAAGACTGCATGCCAGATGTTTGGAACAAAATTGGCATAAGAGTTTGTGGCCAAATTATACCTGAGCACATTGCTCTAGCTAGTATAGGGTATTTCTACCTGTCCACCACAACACAAGAACTATTGAAGTGGAAAAGAAAAAGGACTGTGTCGAGAGAGTAATGACATTCTCCACCAATGAAGGAGTGAGGGTAACAATCCACAGGCCCAGTAAAATCTCCACAGACTCCTTCCTATACACACACACACACACACACACACACACACACACACACACACACACAAATAACATGCACTCAGCTATTAGCAAGTCCTTTGATCCACACAGAAGGACTTAGAGGAGACTGAGACTCCAGGGCTGCACGAAAGCACTGGGGAAAATACAGCCTGTTCTTTATTTCTTTCAAGCTAATGCTAGAGTCCTGTTTGGATGAGTGAGGGACCAACACACAAACAAGCGTCGGCTAGAAAGAACATGTACTCCCACATTCACAAGCTCAACACACTTTTCAGAATCCATTTTCTAACTTATACAATGAGAACATCAGTACAGACCTGACAGTGTCATTTGGAGGATCGAAGTGAGGGTGCGTGAAGTGTCCTGAACACAACTGATCTTTCTCTGCAATTGCACCTAGCCACAGACCACCCTACCGAGAGAAATTGTCTGTCTCCAGTTTGGTTTCTCCAGAACAGAGGCTGGGTCTTATAGCTTCTGATTTTTCAATGTCTGGCATATTGTAAGAGAATATAGGGCGAGCACAGCTTTGAATGGTGCAGAGCTCTATGTTTAGTTGCTCTCACAATCTGAGGTAAACCTTCCTTCGTAATCAGAAAATTGTCTGCAAATATTCAGTTTTATGCTGGACCCGATTCTCTTCCTACTCTCTGGGGTCTTTGGCAAAAACCCAAAGCTCCTAAATCAGCATTTCCATCATCGCAGAGCCCCAGTGAATGGTAACTGAGGGACTGAGTGGATTAATGGATTTTATCAGGATGAAATTGAAAAAAAATCGTTTGGGAAATGATTTAAGAGATGATGTGGCTCAAATTATGAACAAAGTGGTTAGAGGAGATATATTCTCTTTATTTTACTGACCTAATTGGTACCAGGTAAAGGAGACTAAGCCACTAGGAGAATTGAAATTTTTTAATTATAAGAACTTAAGTTTATCCCAAAATATGGTGAATACTTATCAAAAATAGACAAAAGGAAAATAAATAATTCTCTTATGAAGGAATGATGATAACAGTGATGATCATTATCATTATTATTAACTAAATAGAAAATAATGAGATAAAAAATAACTCAGGGTGTTTATAGATCTTTCATTAGATTTCAGAGAGAAAGATATCTGTATTTCTGGCCAGATTTTTTTACAGTGATTTTTTTAAAGAAGTTTTTAGAATTACCCCTCAAGCACTATTCCTGCTTTTTCAGTAGTTTTTCATCCACTTAAAAATGCTTTATTTTAATTCAAAGGTAGACCCTCCACTTACAGGATTCAGTGACTGTCCGCCTACTTAGAACCATTTCGCTCCCATTACTCCTGGATTTTGCTCATTTCTCTCTTCCTCCCTCAGATACCATCTTCCTCCATCAATAGAAGCAGTGACAGTCAAAGGCTAATAGAAACCAGGACCTAGGGACGATTTCCAGTCCCTGCTTAGTAACACTTAGATACTCCCTCTCATATTCTTCCACTGTAGAGGTAAAATACTTTATAATCGTGGTCGTGGCTGACAACAAATCTAAGTGCTTCAAAATCACTTTGGAGCTATAAAGTGTGATATAAATGCTTAATTTTTTAAGTGACATGAGACACATTTGCTATTTTTACTACCTGTCTAACAAGAACCCACACACACTTTTCTAAAATAACTGAGTTTCGAGCCAACAAGAAATCACCCAAGATATTGAAACTACTCTTCAGTTTCACAGAAAATGCACCATCTGAACCCATTGCAACTGTCCTTGCCATCCAGGAAAGAACAGATTCCTTGAAAGAAACCCCAATGTGTAGGGACTGTCCTCTTATAAGTCCTCACAAACCGGTGGTTCAATCTCCTCATAAGTGCCACCAAAACATCAACAGTAGCCAAAGGGCTTTTCTCTCCTTTTCTCCCCCTCTATGCAAATCAGCAAAAAGCAGATTCAATATGTGATTTTCACTGAAGCTCAGCAGCAAGTAAAATCCAAAGAGCGATCATGACATTGATGAGTATCTGTAATACCCCACATGCAGCCTCTCGATAAGGATGTTCCTTTGGGATCCAAAAGGTCAAAATTAATGCATTGGTTGGAAGAGGTTAATAGAAAAAAAAAAAGACTATCATGTTTTTCTCCCCTTATTATTTTTCACCTTACCACCTGATCATCAAACATTAATTGGCCACGCTACATGTAAAATGCTACAATGTGTAACTTTCCCATCCCTATTCCCAGTTAAAGTGTACTTACCAAGGTGATGTGGCTAAATACAGTCTTCATAAATATGGGAAATAAACAGACATATGAAGAGGAGCCTACAGTTCCATCACCACCGGTTATCCTTAGTGGGACCACACACCTGAAGGACCACAACTCCCGATTCTTGTGAATGCTCTTTGACCTTGCTTGACCTTCATTCACATAGGAAAGGAGCTCCCATGTGCATGTAGCAGAAGGATCCTGACCAGGCAATCAGGAGGCCCAGGTCTAAAGGTAAGCAAACCTAACCAAATAATGGTTAAATAGCAAAGACAAGACAAAGCCCTCTCTTTTCCCTGAGTCTGGGAAATCACAGCTGAGACTCTCTGATTCCATGTATTTCAATATGACTATTTTTAAAGCATTCGTGTTACTTGCTGTGGTTCTACACATTGGCTGAGGGGGAGAACTGAGAGAAGGTAAATCAGCATTGCCTTTAAGGAGCCCCGTTTAAGTCCCATTGCAGGAACAAGATCTATTCACAGGCACAGTATAAAACAAAAAGAAAAGGAGCCAGGATAGTCACTCACTCTCCGAGCAGGTTCCTAGTTCTGAGGGAACCAAAAGAAGAGGGACTCAGTGGAGTATTCATGAGGAGGTAGGAAAGGGGCTGTGGTCTGCGGACAGCTTTGGGATAGGTGAGTAGAACATGACTCATTGAGAAAAGTCAGAAAGCCGAGGTATCAGAATTCCAGTAATGGTGGCCCTTGACCCAGCGCCTTTGTTCACATCTCCTCTTTGAGCCCTGCCCTGGTGGGGAGCACCCTGCTTTGCACCGGTGGATGTGTTTCCAATTGCAGCTCTGCCATTAAGAGTCCTTTGGAATTGGCTGAGAAACATCTTCACAGCTCTGCTTTCTTTTGCGAGATAATTCTATCTACCTTAGAGATCTTACAGACAGTAAAATAAGGCACGCACACTGCTAGCCCATTAAAGAAGTTCAAGTAACATTAGCTTGCTTTCACTTGAGGAGCACATGAGCAGTTGTGTCTGTAGGACAGACTCATTTATTCACTCAAATCCGTTCTCTCCTTCCTCTCTAATGATAGAGCCGTGGTGACCTTTGCTGCTCAGCCAGAGGCTCCGCCTACAACTCTCCCTTGCAACTACTTGATCCTTGCCACATTGTTCCTGCCGGTGGCAGACAAACAGAAAGGATGTTTGTCTTCCCGGGCTGGGCTTGAAGAGAACCTG